ACGTAGCTGTTTCATTAACAAGGCAAACAAAAAAAAGGCAACAAGGAGAAGTTTAAAAAAGTGTTTCTACAATTTTTTTCCCCCTTTTTTGCATTGAAAATCATTACATAAAAATGTTATACAAAGGGTTTTTTGTTTTGGTTTTTTTTATCCAAGTATCATAATTCTAAACAAGAGCAGAAAGGTTATATCATATTTCTTCTTTTCTAGTCAAGGTTTCTGCTGAACTAGGTGGCAACATCACCCTGCCTTGCAGGATCTTGTCCTCAGACACGGTGTCCTTTGGCAACAACGGACACCGGATAAAATGGACAAAGGTGGAAGATGATGAAGCTCTGAACGAGGATGTGCTGGTTAAAATGGGACCACACATAAGGGCCTATGGGAGCTTTGAGGGCCGTGTCTTCTTGCAGAACCTCGACAGTGAAGATGCCTCTTTAATAATGACTGAAGTCTCCATGGACGACAAGGGAAAATATCACTGTGACATCGACAACGGGATTGAAGATTCACTGCAAGAGGTTATCTTGGAGGTGCATGCTGGTCTGATGACTGGTAAATCCTGTTTTATTTTGTTTTGTTATTTTGTTTTGTTACTATTTCCATACTTACACTTTTTTGAAATTCATTTAATAATATATTCAATTTCATTAAAAAAAAAACTGGTATATGCTTGTTTCCATGCAGCATCACAAACGTATCCCCCCCTGAACGGGATTGTACTATATATATATATAATATTCAAGAGAGAAAAAACAAGAGAGACAACACTTGCTTTCTTCCTCATATTTTCATCTGATCTACTTCATTCAGGAGTCGTGTTCCCATACTACCCTCCTTTGGGCCGATACAACCTGAACTTCAACAATGCCGTGCAAGCCTGTGAGGACCAGGAAGCTGTGATTGCCTCACATGAACAGCTGCTTGCTGCGTGGAAAGGCGGTTTGGATTGGTGCAACGCTGGATGGTTAAGTGACGGCACAGTGCAGTATCCTATCACCAAACCCAGACATCCTTGTGGTGGCTCCAACAATGAGCCTGGCCTCAGAACCTATGGACGCCAAGAGAAGATTAGGCAATTTGATGTGTTCTGCTATACTACTGCACTCAAAGGTCAGTTAATAAAAATGTCTTTGTACATGAAACGCAGTGACCACAAAGACTAGTACACTTATATAGTAGCACATCTGCTTGAATTATTCTGTCTTGTTTGCCTTATCTGCTGTCAGGTCATTTCTATTGGCTGGTCCAGCCTGAAAGGCTGACCTTCGATGAGGCTGTGGAGGCATGCAGAGATGACGGTGCAGAGATTGCCAAGGTGGGCCACATGTTTGCTGCCTGGAAGCTTGAAGGCTATGATCGCTGTGATGCCGGCTGGCTGGCTGATGGAAGTGTCCGGTACCCCATCTCCAGGCCGCGGAAGAACTGCAGCCCCACAGAAGAAGCAGTGCGCTTTGTTGGGTTTCCCGACAAGACAGTGAAGTCTTATGGCGTGTATTGCTACAAGCCTGATCAGTGATGGGTTAGATAGGTCTAAATAAGCCATGACCACCAAAGAGCAGCAAAAGCCACAACCAGTAAAATAAACAATGAAGCAGATAAGCTTTTGATCTAATCTAGCATGAACCCAGTACCTTTCTAAAGCTGTGATAACCCTAAAAATACATATATATACACACACACACACACATCATACACCCCCAAAAAAAAAAAAAAATGACCTGTAGCTATTATGTTTTGCATTTTCCTATAGGTGGCTTTCATTGGTTTTACACAGAGTATTAAGTAAAGGTCTATTTTGTCAAAATGTGACTGATGAAACAGAGACAGAGAAGTAAATGGTTAGCATAATCTGACTACAGTTTGTGTCCTGCAAAACATGATTGGATTTGTGAAGTTCCAAATGTAGTGCAAATATGCACACGTGCAGTTGACATGTGCTGCTTTAAAGTCTGCAAGAACAGAAAAGCGTGACATTTTATTTTTATCGAGTTCGGCATTTGGGAATTACGTTAAATTTATTACAAACTGCTATGGGTACTTGTTACCCTGCACAAAGTGATCATTTGCATGTTGTTTGCTTTTAGCTTCTGAAACTGAAAAATTTAAAAAAAGCTTTTCAGACAGAATAGTTGTGATCAAAATATTTGCAAAGAAAATGAAGGTAAACGTTTTGGTCTACAACTCTTTTTGCTGTGAAAGCTTCAATTACCACAATTTCCAGTTACAGTCGGAAAGACCACTATAATCTAATGCAATGTACTCTTTTGTCCTAACAAAAGGTTTTTACTTTTTAATGATGGGTTACTGATAGTTTTTTGTTGTTTGTTTGTTTGTTTTTTTACATGTGCATAATGTGCTTTTCAAGAAAAACTACAGATTAAGTTTCTAACACTAGTAGGATTTTAGCAGAGAAGTTAAACTGAAGATGTGATTTGTCCCAACACACGAGTGGCATTTCCTAGAAGAAATCTAATGTTACAGCAGTTAATATATGACTATTAAATGTTTGGTTGCACATGACCACTGATGGAGTTGCACATCTTCATATTGTGGCTATGAGCTGCAAAATTTCAATTCGTATTTTGATGATCAATCACACTCACAGATGGTAATTAGAGGTGCAACAAAACTTTTCTAGAGATACAGAGATATGGCACTCACTGTAGAACACATGCAATAATGTGGTGATGCATTGTTTGTAATAATAAAACTCAAGTTGTCAAGGAAAAAACATTTTGTATCTTAGCACCTTGTACCTTTTCAAATGAAGCTGTTTGAAATAAAGAACACAACTCTTAAATCCATTTTGAATCATATATTCCTCTTTTAAAAATTGCATTCCTTCTTATTTTACTGGAGCAAAATCATGCAGCATGTGGAGATGTTGAAGTTTAAGCAGGGACCTAAATGGGATTGTTTAAGTTGCCAAATTGGAGGCCATGAATTTGGCGTAAAGCCATGTCAACTGAAAGGACTTAAGATTAGACTCTCCCCACATTCATTTATTCTTTGCCATTTTTATCTTCAGTGCCAGGCTGCCAACCCACCACTAAGTCAGACAAAGGGAACAGTAGCACAGTCTTTAAGAGGCTTGTGGGAATCTCTGGGAACGGGGTCAGATTTAGGTGGATACAGCAGGGAAATGCTAGACAAATGTAAATGTGTGCGATCCATCTTAGGTAACTTTTTTTGGATAATGCAGCTAAAAGCAACAGCAGATATTTTTGAGGAATAAACTGTGTACATAAACTATAGATTTTTGCACTTGTATTATACAAAAGACTATATGCATGTATTTAAACAGCTGGCATCAAGTGAGCTGTTCTTTGGGCCTCTGTGTGTTTAGGCAGACAGTCAAATCAATGAGCAGTCTGTTGACTTCAACCAGTCCAGTGCAGTGCACTAGTCTAGCTACATCCCAGATGCTTGACAGAATTCCAGATATGCATGTATGGAAAATAAAAAAAAACCCCAAACATTATGGCATTAAGTGAATGGTACACTTTATTCTAAGGTGCCTGCTAAGCTGAAGAAGTCAGTAAGAGCTTGGGAGCATTTCATTTCCAAAATAAATCTAGAACTTCTGTTAAATCCCAGTGAAACTCAGGCCTAGGGGTTTTTGAGACATCTGCACTTCGTGAGGCAGGATTTCAGGTCTGACTCGATGCGGAGCATCCAGGAGCATCCATTAATCACAAGTCACGTCTCCTCTAACGACAGAGTTGGCACTCACAGAGAAAAACGCAGCTTAGCTTGCACACAGATTACAATGACCAACCTGATGTTGTTACTCAGGTAATGGTGCTTTGTGTTATTAGTAAGCAACAATGTGAACTCCAAGTGACTGCTGCATAAACAGGCACTGTGGGAGTAGTAATGAAAGGTAATGTAGTCAAAAAGCTTCTGATTTTCCACCCAGGGAATTCATGTGGATCCTTTATGCACCAGCATGTAGACTCAAGATGTTTTTCAAGAAGACCACTTTTACTCATGCTATTCACTAAAAAGAAAAGAGAAAAGCAGTGGGGTATCCTTATGCAGGTTCACAGTACTGAAGCATCAGCCTTTTCTGCATGGCATCACTTTTCTCTAATCCAGTTTTAGTTTGCTACAATTCACATTCACATTGCCACTTCCTATCTTCTCCCCCTGGATGTACCAACTGTCTACCAACGGGCTTGCAGAGCATGTCTGATAGGTTTTTCTACAAGTGTGTGATGTATGTTTAAGACACCGCAATACTTTGAAAAATTGGATACTGGTATGATTTTCCACACAGTGCGATTCACATGAAGTTTAAATTCATCATTATATGCTTAGTGTCCATGAGTTGTGTGGGTGCTAAAAAGAATGAAACGTGATAGCAGAAAAAATCTTCGGTTCATGAGTAAGGCTGATAGCACTACCTGCTGGGGAAATCACTGTAGTGCACACTGCATCCTAAATTAGCTTTAGTGCAAGAAGACCCATGTTTTAAAATTTGTTCAACTTCATTACCTGGCTTCTGCAATTTTGCAGCACATTTCCTATATAATAAAAACTCTAATCATAATAAAGAAAAGTGTAATAAGGCTGCTACACTATCAAAACATTACAAGAAGGACAAACTCTGGACTAATTAGATCTGAATAAGATCTGCAAAAAATCTGGTCAACAAATTTAATTTTGTAAGTAAATAATATTTGTATCTTTATTTTATTTCATTGGTGATTTAAAGCAGGAAAAACAACAGTTAAAAAACAGGGGTTTTTTTTAAATTCACAAACGTACCAACCATTCACATTGTAAAGTAATCTTTAAAAAAAGAAACACTTATAAATATAAAATCATATTATGTGCACATCAAGGCTAAAACACACAGACAAATACTCAGACAACAAAACAACATTTCTCCTTAAAAAAAATTCACGTCTGTTAATGTTACAGAACAAAATCGATGCAGATTATTGCTGATGTGTGTCTCTGAGTTCTTTGGTCCACTGTTGCCATTAAAGTTGAAAAAAAAAAAAAAACAAAGAAGAAGAAAGAAAAAGAAGAAGGCATGTAAATGGATCATATTGCTGAGTAATTACTTTTAGATTGTTAGCATGCAAATGTTGCCGGCGTCCTGGTGAACAAACAATAAAAACATTTAAAAAGAATCCCCGTGAGGCCCAAGTGACAGAATCATATTTCATCAGTAAAACAAGTAAAGCAATCAAGAGCAGCTTGAAAATAAATTATACGCATCTCTGCCTAAACAGCTGTTACGTTCAAGTCTTTCTGAGTGATTCACAAAATACATTCTCTCAATGACTGATCTTAATCGACCACAATAACAGAAACATTTTTTTTAGAAATCATACCAAAAGAGAAAAAAAAAAGACTTACATATAAGCTACCCCACAACAGATGACAGCAAGAGTCTTTGGTGTGTGATTATGCACAGCATTAGTTATATAAGTTATTGTAAACATGCTGTTGTGACTAATTAAAGGCTATGCAATGAACATATTTGAGCAGAAAATAGAGGCTTCTTGAGCTACACTTTCCTTTTGAAGTAGACGATAGTCATCAATTTCCATCTGTTGATAAAGGCTTTGTCGATAGGCACTTAGAGAGCAATCTTTCATATTGAACTGTCTCCTACAAAAGAAAATGTCAGTTACATTTTTTAAAATCTATCTATAGAAATCTATTTATAAACATTTAGTCTGACATATATCTGATGACAGCAGGAGAGAATGAAAGGTGATAATTTGATACTAAAAGCTGCCATCACAAAGAAGCTGATAACCAAGCAATCAGTGAAAAACTTTCCCCAGACTTGTGATATTTTAATCTAGAATGTGAATAACTACTATACAGGAAACCTGTCAAACCATGTCAGGGTATAATTTGCCCCTTTATAGAATGAGCTATAAATTCTGGGAAAAGATCTGCATGTAAGAAAGTTTATAGCTCTTTGTATGCAACATAATGTTTAACTCATGCGATATGAGTTCTTTGCAAGCGCAATAAAAAGGAAGCCCAAATTAAAACAGCACAATATTAATGTTTACATGAGCAGTATAATCTCTTTCTTTCTATTAGAAAATGAACACTTGCATAGATTTTAAATAGCCCAGTTGATTTTAAAATTGACTAGACAACCATCATGAAAAAGGGTGATTTTAGTGTTTTTTTAAGTATGATAAGAGTAGTTTTTGCTTTTCCAGTAGCCAGCTGAAACTTTTTTTAATCCACATTGGCATTATTATAAAATAGTGCCCCTTGATAAGAAAAAGTCTTGTATCTACATGTCTCTAAAAGGCACTTTGTAAGATTCCATTGGCAAAAAATGCAGGTTGTTGTTTTTTTTTCTTTGATAAGTTTTCTCATGTGCTTTTTTTTTTTTTTGTTCTTTTCAAACAAGCATCTGGCACGTGCTCTCGTCTCAGGTGTGCCGTGTTATTTCCACTTATGTTCTATTTTGTGTCTCCTTCCTGGTCGGAGCTGATGACGAAAGTGGAAGGACTCATCTTGCCAGTTATTGAAGTTGTGGATGCTGTAGAGACTATTGTGCTGATGCCTTCTGATAAAGGTCCTCTGATAGCTTGAGGCTGTTGGGGGGAAAAAAATCACATTTTAGCTCTCAAACTATAATTATTTGTCAAAATCTTACACATTGGATTAATGCTGAGTAGCAAACTCAGTAAGTAGGTTTATATCTTATTAAATGCACAAAAATATATGTTGTTCTCTGTGCTTCAATATTACAATGAAGGTCAAATTTTGTTGTTGGCTGATTAGGAAAATATATTTTGGCCAATGAAAACTCAAAACGAAAAGTATTTATTTAGAACATAACCACAACTGTTTTAAAGCAAATTATGAATTAATTAAGCATTAACTCTTTCACCCATAAAGATAACGTTGGACAACAAGAAAACATTTAATGACAAATTTTGAAAATTCAAAAACCATGCACTTCAGAAATAAGGGTTGCTCCTAATAGGCATCTAAGGGCAGTTAAATGCCAATGTATTAAGAAAATATGATAAATATTCAGGGCTGGGACAAAATGCAAAAAAGTAACAACTTATAAATAAATGCAAGCATAAAAATGTTAAATGAATAAATAACATACTAAATGTTATATTTTTTTTTCAGTTTTGGCACTTTTGGCACTCCATACATATCAGAGTAATGTCTATCTATTGAGAGCAACAGTGTGCACTTACGGTTCATGCAGCTGATTTTCGGGATATCCCATCGTCCATTCCCACGACAACGGATAGTTGGGACATGTCTCTGAATAAAGCCTATACGGCACTGGTACCTCACCAGCGAGTTGATCTCATACCGTTCACGTGTCTTCCCAAAGGAACGTGCATTCTCTACCACAGGAGGCTGACTACAGGCCACTGTAAACCAGACGAGACAAAGGCATTTGATAAGGAATTTTACAGGAACTATGGGTTTTCATTTTTACCTTAAGAAATTTTTAAAAAGTGGATTTTTTTGTTTGTTTGTTTTTTACCTGTGCCCTTCTTGCAGGTGAAAGTGAGGTGGTAGTTGCAAGGAACATCATTCCACTGACCATCCTCATGCCATATCATCACCACACAGTCCTCGCCAGCAGAGAAGAAGCTGTCAGGCTGGTTGGGCCTCCAGTTTTCATATTGCTAAAATAAGAGCAGGCAAGAGTAAAACATTACTGTTATTAAACTACATTCTAAGCCTAACAGCTTTGCTTTTTTATTAGTAAAATAGACACTATTTACAGACATTATCTATAGACACTCCTGTTGAAGGGTCACTGCAGCAGTAGCTCTTCATATTTGATTTGGCAGATTTTTATACCAAATTTCCTTCCTGACACAAGCCAAAAGGGAATAGCGTCTCCTCCCAAGATCGAACTGAGCATTTTTTGCTTGTTAGGGCAATGTGTATACCAATAGGCACTTGTACGGTAAAGGTTACCAAATCACTACAAATATTGTGCCTGCTACATATCTCGCTAGAAAAAAGTGAAGCCAAAATCCTTTTGTTTTTCCTTTTCCTTTTCATAATTGCAATTCTAATTACTGTCCACAAGAGGGAGAAAGTGTATCTTTATGTAGGCCAATTCTGAGCAAACCAGACTCAAAGGGCAAAAACGAAAGGTTTATAAAATGGGCTCATAAACTTTGTCCAGAGAGGAGCCATCTGCATTATCCTGCTGTAAATGTCACAGTAACCTACTATTTACACAAAAAATAAGAGTAGCTTGGATTTTATAGTCAGTGCAGTCTACACCCCTGATTCAGTATTGCATACTTGGCATGACTGGTATCCCGTGTAACAACTAATGTGTCTTTCACACAACAGAGTTTTGGGATAACGGACAACCATTAGTATGTGATGTCTTTTCATCATTAGCTGACATGTCAAGCGTTACGATTGTACATCTCCAGGAACAAAATTCCACAACAGCACATCTACGTTCATACATTAATACAGCATACACACAGCTGCAGTGCTGCGAGGCATTCGAGCTGGCATCAGTGCTACCTGCAGTCTTTCAGCACATTCTAGGTTCAAAAGCTTTCTTCAAAGCTGTGACAGACCCCCACCCCCCTCACCCCACCAATCATGCCTTGAGGCTCCGCTGCTCTCTCATTATGGTTAACAAACATGCTCTGACTTCCTGCTCAGCTTGCTTCAGGTTAACAAATGGCTGACCCATCAACTCCTCAGCAGGTCTGCATCCTCCTCAGAACATTCAAACAAACTTTGATCACCCACACCTAAACACACATCCGAAGATTTTCCAGCCTGTGTGTTTCAATTCTCTATAGTAATTATTTAATCACTGGTCTTTTCTTTTGCCGTTGTAAATAGTTCACAGTTATTTAAAATCAGTCTTATTTATTACATTTAAGTCCACTAGAGGTGACCACCCACACAGACCCCCTGGGCACCCTCAATCCAGTGTATTTTTTTTTTTTTTTTACTCATTCTACAGCTGAGCACAGGTGCTGTCCATCTGTGTGTCTGCCTGCTTTGGTGGCCTTTTTCCCTGGGTGGTTGCCTGTTGGTTGGGCCTGCTCATGAGTGTGGGGGATAAAGAAGAAACATACCTGTCTACACCTGACAAAGTCCCCTCTCCGCTGTGTCACTCACACCTTCATCACCCCTCATTCTTTCAGCAGTGAAACAGCCTCCAGGCCTGTGCTTATCTTTTAACCCCCCAGGCTGGCTCAATGCTTCCTGCCTTTCTCTGGGTCTGGAAGGGCATCTTTGAAGCAAGAACGTCAGTGTGTGCAAATCTTAAGCAAACTATATATTGTATTTAGTTTCTTTTCTGTTTAGTGGACAGCAGCTAAAAGGACTATAGCAAATATTAACTCTAACTTTTAATTAATTAATTTATTTTTGCTTTGTGGAAGCTATTTGTTTTTCTACACAGAGCTCATACTCATTAAAAGGAGTTAAAATGAAATACACCATGTTCTCCATCAGATTTATTACCACAGCGGTCACCGGGGTGTAGTGACATGAGGCGGAGGAGAATGCGTCATGAGAACGGCAATGCGACTCCCAGAAAGGAAAGACCCTCCCTAAATGACTAAATCTGTCAACAGCATTGCGCATATTTACACTGCTCCGGTGCCATGTTTGTTGAGTCGATAATATGTAAGAAAGCATCCTGTCTTACCATAGGGCAACCATCGGTCCAGCGGAAGTCGTTGTCATACATCTTATCATTCAGGCCGATCCACTGGTAGTCCTGTCCAAGACCTGCCAAGTAAAACACAACCAGTTACATTCCTCAGTTAGCCTATTTCCATTTTAGGACTGGTAAGTCAGAGAAAGCAGGAGAAAGCCCAAGATAACGTGGACGTTTTCATTGCTCGAACCCTTATCTTGCATAGTCTCTACCCAAACACGTATTTGTTCTTGAGTTGGCTTTATGAGAGAAAATTTCCCATTTATTAGGTTTTTTTTTTATTAAGTATCATCTTTATCACATTAATCTAAAGTATTGTTAATTATTTACACCTGTCGTGAACTTACGGTTGACATATTGTTGCTCCTCATGGGACAGGATGCTTGTGAGATGAGCCCCGTTGATGCGGCACTCTCTCTCTGCTGTGTCCCAGTTTTTCCTCTGAGGGAAGTACTTGTAGCAGTGGCCTTGAAACTTATGCCAGCCGTAGTCACATGTTTCTGTATCTGATAGAAGACAGAGTGACAGAGAATGAGGTATACAGAAAACAGAAAGAGATGTGCAACAAATCAACAGACATGAAATAAACTGAGGAATAGACTTTAGCTCTTAATTCAATCCATGTATCAGTCTCACAAACTAACATTTATGGCATTATCTAATCTAGGCCTTACACAGGAGCAAACTGATCCATCAGACCTTCTGTTGGTGTATGTGATTCTGCATAAATTAGAAATGTGATAAACTAATGTATTAGTTCAGCCATAAACAGATCAGATTTATTTCAAACTCTGAAGCTTTACTCTGTTAATGGCATGTATTTCTAAACTTATACACTTTAGTATAGAGTCCGTTTATCCGTCCCCTCTCCTTAATTCAGCCTTGGAAGTCTAATACACAAAAACATAGGTATAATCTTTCTTTAAGTTCTACATCAAGTTTTGTTTTTTGTTTTTTTGGCAAAACTTAGTCAGACAGCAGCTGTGTCTGAGTAAAATATCTGGGTGGGATTCACTGTTGAGTGACTTACAAAATTTAGGGTGTAGACACTGGTCAAGAGACATCACCCAATTGCCCTGGTTTCAGCACACTTGGTGTAAATATATGGTTCAACTGGTAACAGTAAAATAATTTTTTCTTAAATATTCCAGAACTCCCTTGTCCAGATAAACTTTTTTAAGCAAGAACTCAGAGACTTCATTGTATTTTCTAATCCAGTAAAGTTGTCTTAGATGGAAATATAGTGATTTGAGATCTAACATGCATTTACTCTGACTGGATTCAACTTGATGACAACAGGCCATATCTTTAAATACTAAGAAACCGAAATCTTTGGGAATTCAAGGGGTTTTGAAGTATGTTAGCTACAATGAGACACCAAAAAGAGACAGTAAAAAAAAAGCTGTGGTGATGAAATAAAGATGTTGTTGATTAGTCAGCTGACGCCTGAGGACTAGACGTCGATCAGCTGTATGCAAACAGTACGATTATATATAATGTGGCGTGTTTTGTGGTTCACTCAACTGAGTAATATGTTAAATGTCTAAATACATAGTCAAATATAAGAGGCTATAATGTTAACATTTTGTTTCTCTCTTATATGTGCTTAGCACTAGCTCAATTTGGATAATTGAGACCAGCCCAGAAATAACCGATGAGTTTTATTAATGGGAAAAATAATAATAAGAAAGAATCTAGAGAGAAAAATTGTTAAATTAATTTCAAACTTACCCTCTTCACAAAACAGCCCAGCATAGCTTGGGAGACACACACATGTGAAAGAAGCCAAGCCATCGACACAAGTGCCTCCATTGCGGCAAGGGTTTGATTCACACTCATCAATATCTTCATAAGAAACAGACATAATCAATAGGAGCAGATGAGCAAAACAACTTGTAGTCCCAGAAATATTATGTTCTTTTAGCAGTGCTTCATGTGAGCTTTGCAAGAATTGTCCTACCTATTTCACATTGATGACCACTGAAACCAGGAGCACAGTGACAGGTATAGGTGCTGCCAATCCTCAAGCAAGAGCCTCCATTTAGACAAACATCCTCTGTGCATGAGTCAATTCCTGATGACAAAGTAAAATAAAAGTCGAATTAAACAGAAGTTTATTGGAGTATTCATTTTTTTGCTCTATTTCAGTGCCAACTTAGAAGGAAACTTACCAGAAATCTCCATAGTCTCGCCAACAACAGTGTGTCCCAGATCAAATCCTCTATTAGGCGGTGTGGTTGTTTCCTCCTCTTTTATTGATGGTTTTCCTTCAATAACTGATGGTGGTGCAGTCATGTCACTGCCCTGTTTCTGGTCTTGCTCAGAAAAGGTTGATGGTGTGGTTGATGCAATTGTACCTAGCTGATTTTGCACCTGGGCTGGTGATACTGTCTTGAATTGAGTGCTGGTTGGTATTTCAGTGTAAGGAGAGACACCTATGTCACCTTTCCCAAACGTGACATCAACACCTTCCTTCTTTGAAGCTTCTGTAGCATTTACCTTAAATACTTTCTTGATTTCATCTGGAGATAGAGCCTGTTCTATACTGATGATCTTTGGTGCCTTTGTAGTCATCAGTTCATCAGATACATCATCAAAGCTGGGGGATGAAATCCCAGAACTTACAGAGCCACTTTCAGCCTTATCATTAGGGACAGAAGGTGACTCATCATCACCCAGCTTAACAACACTTGCTGTAGTCATGCTGTTTTCTTGGAGGGTAGAGACTGATTTTCTACTGATTGTGGTTGATGCCGTAACCATGATAGCTTCTGCCATTACCTTTGAGTCAGGTGTTTGAGCAACAGATGGTGGTGTAGAAATTAACACTGTATCATTTTCTAGTGTTTGGTTGTACAGGGGATCTGCTGCCACCACATAAGGATTTAGTGCTTCATAATCTGGTTGTGGATCAGTTAGACTGAGGTGAGTCGTTGCACCACTTGAGACCTGATCAACAGCTGGTTCAACTGTCCCATCTGCTACCGAAACACGGCCGTCTTCAGAAACAAAAGCAGGTGCAACTGTTGATACTGCAGTCTGGCTTGTGACATGATTAGCAAATACAGGGCGATTTGTGGTCAGTGATATATCATGAGAAAGACCAGGGTTGGGGCGGTGTGTAAGTGTAATTTCTGACTTGGCTTGTTCAAATAATTCCATGGGAGTTGTCAGTGGTTGTAGAGGAGAAAGAGTTGAGTCCAACTGAATGACAACATCTGGCTGTGATGGTGTTGAAGGGACATTTGAAGTGGGTATTGTGGTGATCATTACTGTTGTCTCTGAGATAGCTGTGCTTGTTATAGCTGCATTTTGTGACTCCTTTGGTTCTGACTCAAAGGAAGTTGATGTATTCAATGACTCAATAGATCTGGTCACAGCAGGGGGCTGTGTTGCATGGGCTGCAGTGCTGAAGACCTCATGGGATGTCTGACCTGAGGTTTCTTCAAAAGATTCTGACTCATCTGTTTGGGAGCTTGCCGGCTGAGTGGATAAAGTGCTAGTAATCATAGTCTTCTTAACGGTCGACAAACTAGGAGTGACAGAGTCAGACCCTAAGGTGCTCAATCCCATTTCACTTGAACCTGCTGTAGAAATAATAATACTTGTTCCTGTTGATATAAACCTCTCTTCACTCTTCACTGGCGTCTTGGCATAACGTGAACTGTCTTCATCGGTTGAGGTGTCTCTCTCAGTCGATACTACAGCTGGCTTCTCAGTGGTAGAAGCAAGAATGGTAAGGGCAGGTTCTGTTATCATTTTGGGTGACTGGTCAGTAATTTCTGAAGTGAAAACCAACCCTTCAGTCTCAGTGGTAGAAACTGAGGACACACCTGAGGATGGAGTCCTTTTTGTTTCAAATGAAAATGAATAAGTTTCTTCACCTGAGATCTCTAGTGATGCGTCTACAGCGCTTGACACTGCAGGAGATCTTGTGTCAGTAGCTATAGTTTCTTCTTCTTCTTCACTTGGAGGTTTTGGAGTTGTAGATTCTACTCCAACAGGCTCCGCTCCTGTCCCCATATGAGATGAAGTTATAATAGCATGAGGAGATGTTTTCTGGATGTCACTGTCTGAACTACTTGAAATTTCCCCTTTCAATGTTGTGACTGTTAATGCAGTCTGGGCAGTTACAACCATAGCAGTGCTTAACTTCTCACTAGACAACACTGGGCTCACTGTGGCTGGCACATTTTTCTCAGAAGAGATGCCAGTGTGGGGAGTAGGCATGATCTCAGACCTGGCTTGCTCAGTACTAAACAGTGAAGAGGGTGTAGATGTTTTTTCAGTCATCCAACTTTCCAAAGATGATGCTGAAGGTTTCTCTGAGCTTTCTCGTGCAAAGTCATCAGAGTCACCTGAAGAGTCGTCATCAGATGTTTTACTGGTGGATTTCATTGTTCCAGATTTAGTGGAGACTGGTGCGACAGTGACTGAAGGTTTAGTGGTTTGTGTGAAAACGGATGAACTTAAGGTTTTATCAGTTATGCTGTGACTTGTAGCTGTTAGAATTACGGGTGATGCTGTCGTATATTTTTCTTTTTTAACTGTGGTGACCACATAATCTTCACTAGTCACTAAAGTGACAGAGGTAGAGTCTGCTGTTTCCATTAACATTTGAGAAGAAAAAGATGAGGAAGTGGAAATCTCAGTAGTGTCTCCTTGGAATTGATCAGAAATTGGTTTGGTAGTCTCAAATGAGAAAACTTTGTGTGTTGTTGTAACATCATAGATTTCTCCAGAGCTTGACTGAGTGGACACGGAAGTATCTTGTGTGGCCTGCGCCAACCTTGTGACATTTACTTCACTTGATGTTTCTTCCGAAGAAACATCTTTCACAGGTGACGATTCTGAAGTGAACAAGTATTCAGAAGATGTTGAGGCTGATGATGTATCACTGGCTGAGGTTGGTGTAGGACTCAAAAATGTGTCACCCACAGTCCCTGAACCCTCTGGTTCTTCTGTAACTTCCAGCTTTTGAGTTATTGTAATTGCTGTGACACCCCCAGCTTCCTCTGTCAGAATAGTTGGATAAAATGAAGAAGAGGGAACCACAGACATCGTATCTGCATCAGTGATTGTATCATCTTTGGTAATAAGCTCTGTACTGTAGCTGTCTTCTCTCATACTATCTGTAACTCCAGAGAACAGTTTATCTTCCTGTTGTGTATCCTCGATGAATATGATAGATGTGCTGGTTGATGTTTTGGATGCATCCAGAACTATGGTCGGTGTTTGTTCAGTTAGTCGAGTCTTGGCTTGGCTCCTGTCGGGAGTAATAATCTCAACTTGTTGATCTGTAACGCTGTGATATATAACAGTGGGAACTGGGGCAGATGTTGATGTAAATTCATCTTGTTTATGCTCACTGCTCAAGCTTTCTGTGCTGAAATCAACAACAGTGTGATTATATATTAAGGCATCAGTTGTATGGGAGGGCAGGGCTGTAGAGGGGGATTCTGTTGTGTGTTCAGCCACAGCAACCTCATCTTTCTCAGTGCTTGAAAGGGGATGATCTGTTGCTGGAGTAATTTTACTTTCCTGTGAGAAAACCCTGTTATCAGAGGTTGGTGTTGCTGTAGCAAAACCCTTGGTTTCACCTGCTGTTTCTGAAAATGTGGCAGTCTCCATCACTGAAGGCTTTAGGGTGAACTTCACAGTGGTTTGGTTGCCAGAACTCTCTACCTCTGTCAAAGTAAAATCTGGTTTTGGTGTTGATTTTTTACTTGTGATTGCATATTCTGTTGATGTGTACGACTTCTCTGTGGTGTAGAGAGAAGCTGCAGGTGCAGTAGATTTTGGAACATCAGCTGTTCCACTTTCATTAAGTCTTTTTGCTGTGCTTGTTGGTTTCTCTGTGCTGAAAATGGAATGGCCTGTACTCTCTGTGCTAGTAAAAGATGTACTTTCATGAGTTGCTCCTATTATTCTTGGTTTGGTTGTGGGTAGAACTGATAATCCTGTGTCTTTTACTGTAATAAGCACGTCAGTGGTATGGCCACCTGGGTCACTATCTTCTGGAAACACTGAATTTATAACCGCTGAGGAAATTGTACTATCCAAAACTCCAGAACTCTCCCTTTCAGGTACTCTTGTGGAGGATGACCCACTTGAGTCATCGCCTGACCACTCATCTTGATCGGTGACTCCACTGCCCTGATCAGAAGTGTAAATCTCAGGGCTCATCATGCTTGGAGATTGAGTTGGTGATATAAATTCTTTGGTTACCTGTGTACTAGACTGAGGTGAAAATGCAACACTGACCATGTCAGATGTGCTCTGAGTCTCATCTGTTTCTGTCTCATCTGTTTGCACTTTAAATTCCTTGTATGGTTTTGTAGCAGTTTCAATTAATATCCCTTCACCAGATCCATCTTGACTTGAATCCAAATCAAAGTCTTGAGGGAAGCTGCCAGAGTTGTCCATGTCATTGTAGGCAGAGGTCATCATTGGGGTAATACTGGGTATTGCCATTGGCCGAAATGTTTTGAGTGTATAGGGACTAGATGTAGCAGTTGTAAATTCTCTATCACTTGAATGCTCTTCCCCAGTGAATACAGGTGTGTTTGATGGACTAAATGTTGTTACTGCTAGGGTTGCTGATTCCACAGAGGGCTGTTCAGGTGCTGTTTCATCTGTGTATGTTGATGTGTAATCTCCTGAGAAGTCTGGGTCGGGAAAATGACCTGCTTCTGACTCAAACTGAGTAGTGGCAGAAAACAGAGGAGCATCTGTAGACTGCCCGGTCATGAACTCATGAGGTGAAATCATTGTACTGTGAGTCAAAGTTTTCAGGTTTTCAACTGTTGCTGTAAAGGATGTGTGTGTTCTTTGAGAGTCACTGAAAGTAGTTGATGGTGCTGATGTTGATGTCGTAGTCATGAAGTCAAAAGCAACAGTGTTCCTTGTTGTTACCATCTCTGTTGTTTCAGTTGAAGTTGTATCTGAGAAAGAAGATAACGTAAACATGTCTACAGTTTGGTCAGTTAATGTAAAGGGTTCAGGAGATAACACTGTGTTGTCAGTTAAGGGGTAAAGCAAGGTTTTCTCTGGGTGACTAATTAATGGAATATCAAGTTCTGCGACTGGACTTGATGTTGGTGCCATTGTGCTGAGCGATGAAAAAGATGGAGGAACTGCATTGACAAAGGCAGGTATATGAGTTATCTCATCATGCGAGCTCCACTCTTCAGTAAAGGAGTTAGTTTCATCTATTGCAGTTGTGGTATAGTATTTGTCTGTTCCAGATGACATCGCATCTGTATCAACATGTTGTGTTACTGCAAGTGATAGTGGCATTGACTCCACAGTGCTGGATACAGATGGAGATACGTCACTGAAAACAGAGCTTGCATTCAATATATCTGTGGTGTCATCACTTGAACGTTCTACATCCATTGGAGTTGTGTCCAAATAGGTCATTGTCTTATCAGTCAAAGGAGAAACAGAAGTCTTTTCTGTCTGATCTGAGAGAGCACTGGAGTAAACGTCAGCTGGAGTTGCTGTTGACTTCTCCGTGGTGAACAATGAGGAAGCTGTGGGAAGTGCAGTGAGATTTCTAATCATTTCAGACGTCTGATCTCCTGAGCCTTCTTCTGTTGATGTCAAAAAAGAACTTTCCTCTGGCGTTAATGAATATTCATCGAACTTACTTGTGGTGACAGATTTTTGCGTACCAGATGACACTGATATTGGCCTCTGAGTACTGAAGACAGATGAGGATGAAGTAAAAGCACCTTTTGAAGTATCACTTGAAAGCACTGTTGTTGTTATGATGCTTGAGACTTCAGGGAAAACAGTAGTGCTGTCTCCAGAAAAATCTGTATCTGTGGCACTCGGGAAGGATGTAGTTTCTGACTTCATTGTTGACGGACTGAAAGAAGCAAACGAGTCCATTAAGGTAGGTTGACTGCTTTCACTTTCAACCTCAACAT